ACGGTATAACTTTCCACCGCTCCGGCAAATTTTTCCTTTTCGCTTTTTCGTCCGGCAATAATCGCTAAGCATAAATTTTTTTCCACATAATCTTGGTATTCTTGTCAAATTTTTTGGGCAAATTCCCGGGCTTCTGGTTCGCTGGCGTGTAAAGTATGGCCTTCTTGTCAAAAGAATTCGGTATTGCGTAAAAAAGGTTTAGTATTTTTTTCGGCCCGAAATACTTGACACCATTGATTATAAAGAAAAGGTAATTGTTGATAACTGTGTAATATTTGCCGAAATCAATCATAAAATAAAACTTCGCTGGTGGGGCGTAAAACTAATGGCTCGGTTAACTTCTTTTCCCCAATTTGCTGAATTTGAAAAAATTCGGGGCGGAACCCCTGAATATGTTGCTTTTCTTTGTGGAAAAAATTATAAGGTATTAAAGTGGGTAAACTAACATTTTTTATTCCCAGTTGGATAAACTTTTGATTTAAAAGATTTTGAATATTTTGTCAAAGCAGCAAGCCATTAGGGGGCAAAATAAAAGAACCTTTGCTAGGACCCGGAAAAAATAACCCACTTTCTAAAAGAATTTTATTATATTCAATCGGCTTATTCACAAAAAAACTTATAAGTTATTTTTAATAATCGGATTTTTTTTGGTTTAATTTAATCTCATAAGAACTAAAAACTATATATACATATATGAAAAATTTAGAAGAAAAATTATTGGAAATTTATAACAAGATACGGAAAGATAAACATTACATGGCTAGTTTTCACTGGAAATATGCTAAAAAAGCAGTTGAGGAGGCCAAAGAACAAAGGAGAACCAATTACCCCTCAATACCAGGAATTAGTTGCCAAAATTGCCAAGGTAGCCATTGACGGAATTGAAAAGGAAAGAGTTGAATTATACCGAGGTTATATCCGACCTACGCGTAAAAATCTGGACGAACTAGAGCAACATTTTCAAGAAATTTTAGTGCATATTGACTACGCCCACCAAGAATTTCCGCAAATTTTTAGTGCTAATTTCACTGACCAAATCAAGCAAGAGATAAAAAAATTTCGGGAAGAAGCGGCTCCTTTACTCCGAAAATTTGCTAATCTTTATGACCGAACGCTAGAATTTGACGAAGAAAACTTTACTTGGGGAGAAGTTGAAAAGTTATGGAATGAAGCCCAACAATTAGCCGCGGCACCACAACCTACTTCCTTTTTAAGTGAATTAGCCGAAAAGCAAAAAACTCATTTTTGGGGTGAAATTACCCTTTACGCCCTTGGTTTTGTTGAAACGATAAATAAAGGAGAAAAAGACATTCCTCCTAATTGTTATCCTTCTACCGCCCAAGAATTAGACTTTCTGCAAAAAATCGCCGATGGATTTCCGGCTCTGCTTGAATTTGCGAAAAAAACCGGCGAATTTGCTAAATTAGAAGACCAAGAAACTAAAATCCAAGAACTCCAACAAAAAAATGAAGAATTAAAATCCTTCATTCACCAACAAAGAAAAAAACTTGGTTCTTCCAATCAACCCCAAAAACCTAATCCCCAAGATATTCAAAAAATAAACGAACAATCCTCCGAAATTAATTCTTTAAAAAAACAATTAAGCGAACTCCAAGAAAAAATTAAAGATTTAGAAAAGGAAAAGTCTTCCGCACCTAAATCTGACCCAGAAATTAAACAAAAAATAGAAAGTTTGGAAAAACAAAAAGAAAACATTCAACAGCAAATTAAACAAAAATCCGCTACCAAAAAACAATTAGAGAATAAAGTTAATTCGGCTCAGAATAATAGTGGGTTTAATTGATGATATGTAGTTGTTCCCGGTGGGGCTTTATTAATTATTATGGGGATAATTATTGCTTATTTAGTAGGTAAGCAGTCTAAAAAATAAAATAATGAATAAAGAAAATAATTACTACCTTGGAATCGGGAGAAGAAAGACGGCTAGTGCTACCGTTTATTTAAAGCCCCAAGGAACCGGTCAGATAAAAATTAGCAAAAGAGGGCAAAAGAAAGAAAAAGATTTGGAACAATACTTTACTAATGCCTTGCTCAATAAAAAAGAAATTTTAAAACCTTTGGAACTTTTAAGCAAACAAAATGATTATGATTTAAAAATTAGAATAGAGGGTGGCGGCATGACCGGGCAATTAGAAGCCATTCGTTTAGCAATAGCCAAAGCACTTTTAGAAGTTTCTCCCGAATACCGGACGACCTTGAAAGGATTTGGTTTATTAAGCCGGGACCCGCGCCGCGTAGAAAGAAAAAAAATTGGTTTAAAGAAAGCCCGCAAAGCTACTCAATATTCCAAACGATAATCTTGCTGCTAAACCATTTAATTAAAACAATTTTGCTAAAAAATAAAATCATTTTTCAACTTAATAAACAACAAAAATCATTATGAATTCCCTAGATACTTATACTCTCTCCGAAAAAACCAAAAAAAACTTACAAGCCATTGGTTACAGTAAATTAACTAATATTCAAGAAAAAGTAATTCCCTTAATCTTGGAAGGAAAAGATATTATTGCCGAATCCCAAACTGGAACCGGAAAAACGGCAGCTTTTCTTATTCCTATTTTAGAAAAATTAGCAGTTATTGCTAAACCCCAGGTGCTGGTTTTAGTTCCCACCCGTGAATTAGCCTTACAGGTAAGCGAGGATGCTCGCAAATTATCCCCCCATAGTAATTTACGAACTTTAACAGTTTATGGACAAGATTCCATTCGCGAACAATCCAAATCATTTCGGCGGGGCGTAGATGTAATAATTGGCACCCCGGGACGGGTTATTGACCACATTTTTGACCAAAAGACTTTTGCTTTGGATTATCTAAAATTTGTGGTGCTGGATGAAGCCGATGAAATGATTAATAAAGGCTTTTTGCCCTCTATAACTAAAATAATAAAAAAAACTCCAAGCAGTCGGCAAACTTTACTTTTTTCTGCTACCATTACTCCCCAAGTAGCCAAATTTGCCCAAATTTACTTGAAAAATCCCGCCCAAGTCAAAGGAGAAACGGGAAACTTAGCGGAAATCAATATTAAACATTATTATTTGGAATGCCCGGCTCGGCAAAAAACTTTCTTTTTGCTTGATTTTCTTCGCCTCCATAGTTCGGAATTAGTGATTATCTTTGCTAACACTAAAAGAAAAGTGGAAGAAGTAGAAAAAAGTCTAAGCCGGGAAAGTTTAAAGTTTGATTATATTCACGGCGATTTGACCCAAACCCGTCGAACTAAGGTTTTTAACAAATTTAGAACCAAACAAATCAATATCCTAATTGCGACCGATGTGGCCGCTCGGGGGCTACATGTTAACGATATTTCTTATGTGGTTAACTATGATTTTCCCCAATCCAATGAATTTTATATTCACCGAATTGGACGTACGGGACGTGCCGGAGCGAGTGGTAAGGCTATAACCTTTATTACTTCCCCCCGGGAAAAAAAACAATTAATGTTTATCGCTCGGCAAAAGAAATATCAACTTGAACCCTTTACTTTGCCTAACAAGGAGCAAATTAATCAAATTTTAGAAGATAAATTATTAGCCAAAATTACGAAAATTATGGAGGATAAACCAAATAAATTTAATAATGAACCAAAAAAAATCCAAGAATTAAGCGAAAAATATGGTGCCGAAAAGCTAGTTACTACTTTATTTAACTTGCTGGTAAAGTCTGATTATGCTAAAAGCTAACTTGATTAAAAATAATGTTTCCTACTCGGAGATAAACCGCCAAGGAAGACTTTAAAAATTCTTTTATAAAAAAATCATGCTTAAAAAAATAAATAAAGATATAGAAAAATATTTGTTGGGAATTGAGCAAAAATCAGCCCTAGATAAAAGTTCTGTGCCTAAGGGAACTATTGACTTGATAATTACTTCTCCTCCCTATAATGTAGGAATTGAATATGGTTCTAACAAAGATAATCTAACTTATGAAAAATATTTAAAGTTTTCCAAAACTTGGTTGAAAAATTGCTACCTTTGGATTAAACCGACCGGAAGATTATGTCTAAATGTTCCTTTGGATAAAAATAAAAACGGAAAAAATAGCGTTTGTGCTGACATTACAACAATCGCTAAAAAAATTGGTTGAAAATACCAAACCACAATTATTTGGAATGAACAAAATATTTCCCGTCGCACCGCATGAGGCAGTTGGTTATCAGCTTCGGCACCTTTTATCATTTCTCCGGTGGAAGTGATCATCATTTTTTATAAAGAAAATTGGAAAAGGAACGAAAAAGGAATATCCGATATTAATAAAAAAGAGTTTATTGACTGAACTAATGGTATGTGAAATTTCTCCGGAGAAAGCCCGAAAAAAGTAAATCATCCCGCTCCATTTCCTCGTGAATTACCTAAAAGGTGTGTTAAATTATTTTCTTTTGTTGGTGATACTATCCTTGATCCATTTACGGGCAGCGGAACTACATTAATTGAAGCCATTAACCATCGACGCTACGCCTTAGGACTAGAGATTGACCAAGAATATATAAAAAGAAGTTTAAAAAGGATAAAGAAAGAATGCTATTTAAACGTTGCTGATACTGATAATAAAAATTCTGGTAGCAAAGCAATTATTCTTAACCACAATTATGATACTGAAATACTTGAAAGGAATTAACGAAAAAAACAAAACGGTCGAAACTTATTACAAAGTTTTTGGGAAAGATTGAGGAAAAAATATTAATTCTCCTTCTGAATTTATAAAGTTATCGTGGGAAAAAGTATTAAACAATGACTTGTTAACTAGGAATGATAATGGAGCATTGTTCGAATATTTAATAGCGGTATGTCTGTCGGTTAAAAAGATACTGCCATTTTACCTGCAAGCCAAGGTAAGTTTTGTCCCTAATGCCACTTATGACATCGTTTTGTATAGTTCGGAAGGGTATCCAATAACTTTAAGCATTAAAACTTCTCTTCGTGAAAGGTATAAACAAGCTGATTTAGAAGGGTTAGCGTTAAAAAATGTTCATCGCCGAGCCAAAAATTACTTGATTACTTTGAGTGCTAAAGAATACGAAGGAGTTAGGAAAAAAATTCAAGAGGGGGATGTAGCAGGCCTAGACAAAATTATACTTGCTGATAGTGAAGAGTTCGATTGTTTGCTTAACAAACTGTCCCAAATGAATTTTATAAAGCCAAAAACGGTTGAGATTATAAAAGGAAAGATTATAGAGTAAACTCGCTATCTGATACAATAAAATTTAATTATGGGATATATACTTCATTATTTTTTTTGAAATAAATAAAAGATAAGTAGTGGAAAAATTCAAAAAATGTTAAAGAAAGGTCAAAATTGCCAAAAAAATATAATTTAATTATTGGTCGCCATTGTTTATTAAAAGCACCTAAATATTTACCAGGAGCGGTAGAAGAAGCTGTAAGTTATGGGGCTAATTCTTTAATGGTTTTTTTAGGGGCTCCGCAGAATAGTTATCGCCCCCCCCCTAGAAAATTTAAAAATACCGGAGTTTAAGCAAATTTTAGCCCAAAATAAACTGGAAAGTAGGCAAGTTATCATTCACGGTCCTTACTTAATTAATCTGGCTAATGCTAGCAATCCCCAAGTTTTTTTTTGGTCTGTGGAATTTTTAAAAAAAGAATTGATACGGGCGGAAAAAATTGGTGCTAAAATTTTTGTGCTCCACCCGGGAAGTGCTTTAAAATCTCCACTTCCCGCCGCCTTAGACCAAGTGGTTAAAGGCCTTGATTTAGCCCTCCAAACTAATTCTCAAATCCGAGTTGCCTTAGAAACCATGAGCGGAAGAGGAAGTGAAGTGGGTAGTAATTTTGCCCAACTGCAAGCGATAATTAAGCGGGTTAAATATAAAGAAAGAGTGGGAGTATGTTGAGACACTTGCCATTTATGAGCCGCCGGCTACGACCTTAAAAATAATTTAGAGCAAATAATTAGTGATTTTGAGGAAAAAATTGGTTTAGAAAAACTGTGGGTTATTCATGTCAACGATTCTCTTTTTGAATTAGGGAGTAAACAAGACCGCCACCAAAATCTAGGCTATGGAAAAATTGGTTGAATAGCACTGCAAAAAATAGTTTATCACCCTAAATTTGAAGGAATAGTTAAAATCTTAGAAACTCCCCGGGAACTAAATTTCCAAACTGAAATAAAAAGACTTAAAGAACAGAAACCAAACTGTGTTATTTAAATTAATTCTAAATTTTGCCCGTTAACTAGCAATAATGACTAAAATACGGCTATTTTTTTGCTGGCTCGGTCCTCTTTACCGCGCTGTTTTTGGGCGGTTAATAATTGATTAAATTCTGCCGGCGAAAAACTATATTCTTTTTGTTTTAAATGATATTCAATTAGTTCTAGTGGTATCCCGGCGGTATCATACCAAAAAAAGACTTTTTCAGCCGGAATGACAGTGTTTATAGGTTTTCCTTGACAATAGTGGTCTATTTTGTGGGTGGAATTAGTAATAAACTTTAAGGTATAATTAATTTCTTGGACCAAATTTTCCATTATTAAATTTTCTTTTTCGCGTAAATGAGGGTAAAAAGAACTGTTAATTTCAATTATTTTTTTACTGAAAAGGAGCAAGTCATCCGCGGAAAAATTGAGAAAATAACCGATTAAGGTGGCTCTTTTAACTAATTTTTTGAGAATATAACCACGACCTTTGGGTTCAAAATGAGCCCCATCAGCCAAAGCAAAAATAGCCGTCCGTAAATGGTCAGCAATAATATAATAATTTCCTTGGGGTTGGTTAGTATCCATCATTTATTTTTTTTTTCAGGTTAAATAATAGATAGCCGCCCCTATTATGCTTAAAATTGCTATTCCTCCTATTATCAAAATAGTTGATTTAGGGGCGGGGGAATTGGAGGATGGTGATTGACTGTTTTGTTTGTTTTGGGGTGCTAAATTTGGTTTTTCTATGGGTGTAATTCTTGCTTGTTGGTTTTGATTTTCAGAATTACCATTATCCTTCATGCCTTTTTTTCAGCATTCTAACGAACAAGTTATAGTTAACTTTCCTTGTTTATCGGTGAAAGCAACAGTAGCATTACCGGCTTCTTTTCCGCAAATATGGCATTTCCGACCTGCTTTTTCTCATTGTTCAAACTGCTCTTTTTGTTCGGTGTTGTTTCCTATCTTGTCTATTTCCTCGCACCTTTTTTCTATTTCTCTACCTCGCCTTTCTATCTCCTCATGCCTTCTTTCTATCTCTTCAATTCTCTTTTCTCTTTGGGCTTTTTCGGCAGCGGTTTCCCCAATGGAGAAAATTAATCCGCCTTCTTCTCCTTTGCCTCCTATGCTAATCACAGGAGCAAAATATTCCTCATTTTCGCTCTCTTTTTTTAAACCATTCTTGGCAACTCTTTCCACATTTGTTTTTACCATTTGCGAAAAAATTTCTCAAAATATTTTTTTTAAATCTTCGTTAAAAATAGTATAAGTTTTCTTTCCTAGCTCCGTAGTAACTTTATAATCCTCTCCGAGTTTAAAATTCTTTATTTTATCTTCTATTATGGAATTCATAACCTAATTTTGTCCTTTCTATTATTAATTTTAACCTTCTTTGGCAAATTTAATATAAAATTAATTTTTATTTAGACTAATATTTTCTATTTCTAAAACAATTTTGTCTTTGGTTAATTCTCAAATTCTTTCTTTGGATTTTTTAATTTTTCCTGCTTCTCTAATTATGATATCTGCTTCTTTTTCTTGGTTATTTAACTCATCCTCTAAAATGCTAATATACCTTGGTAATTTGTATTCTATCCAATCTTTTAATTTTTTTAGTTTTTGTTCTTTTTCGTCCGATTTAACCAGGGTTTCAAAATTACATTTAGTAATCAATAATTCCCGCATAATTTTAGCCACTATAAAAATATTAATGTTGTCTCCGCTAATGTAAATTTTTTTGCGAGTGTCTAAGGGCCTAATGGGTTTGTCATTTTCACAAGTAGCGACAATAAAGCCATAATCAGCCCGGTGGGTTTCCATATCCTTTTCTAACTTGGCAATCCACTCATTACTTCAATCTTTGGTGTTTTTAGTTTCATAAATAATTCGCCCGGCTATTTTTTTGGGTTCGTTTTCCGTAAATACTTCTTGTAAAAAATCCCCTCTTTTTCCGATATTACTTTGTCCTTTGCTTACATCAATTACATTGTCCCGGTCGTCAAAAACTTTCTGTAATTCCTCTAAAAATCACTTTTCAAATTCTTTGCCTTTTTCTTGTCCGCCTTTTTTGCTAAGGTGTTGAAGCATTTGGTTTTGCTCGCGCAGTTTTTCATTTTCTCCTTTTAATTCTCTAACTCTACTTAACCCTTCTACATATTCGGAGGAGTTTGCTTCTATCACTTGATTTTTTAATTTTTCCACATTTTGCTTTAATTGCTTAATTTCCGGAAAATCCTCGTAAATCCGATTTTTTTTAATTTCTTCAATAAATTCATTTCTTAAATAGTTTTTTTGTAAATTAAGGTGCTTTTCTATGATTTCTTTTAATTTTTCATCTATTAATTGAAAAACTCTTTGTTCTTGACCAAAATGGTCATCATTAATTTTTTCTTTACAATGCGGACAAGGAAAATCAAGTTTATAAATTTTTCTTATCTGATTAATTTCCCCCGGGGTGATGGGCATTGCGGTAATTATTTCTGAACTTGGCTTATTGGTTTCTTGCATATTCATTTTCTTATATTATTCATTTTTAGTAACTTAAAATTATTCTACAAAAAAATATCTGGGAAAATTTCTTCCAGGGCTTGGAGGATAATTTTTCTTTTTTCTTGCGGAGAAAGGTTATATCTGTCCCCCACAATTTTTAAGCAAGCGGTTAAAATATAGGTTTCTAATTCGGCTTTTAGTAAATAACTGTTAACATTTCTCAATTTTTTAGTTAAAAAATTAATTTCGGTGGCTTGCGCTTGGATTAATTTTAACATTTCAAGGTTTATTTTTGTTGTTTCATTTTTGTTATGTTCCATATATTAATTTTTTGGGCTTTTTTGCCAAATTAATTTGATTATTCCACTAACTAGGAGGAAAAAAACGATAATGAATAAAACAAATCAGTGGTTAATTTTTCAATTAGAATTTTTTGCTTGCTCGGCTTTTTGGAATTTACTTGGTCAATCTTTGGCTGACAAAGCACTTTGCTGAAAATTATTTAATTGGCTTTCTAAGTGTCTATTTTGTTCTTGAATTTGTATTAATTGTTCTTCTAAGATTTTAATTTTAGTATTATTATCGTTCATTTTGCTTATTTCTTGGACTAATTTTTTTAATATTTTATGGTCCTTTGGTTGAGTTGACCAACTGCTTGAATAATTTGACTTAGGTTTTTCAGTCGCTTTTTGGAGAGGAAAATTTTCCATAATACCCAACAGAAATTCTTCGCGAAGGGCTTCCACTTCCTCGGTCGAATTAGCTTCATTAATTTCTTTTTCATAATTACGATTATCGAGAATAATTTTATTTCTTTCTAGTTTAGCATTGCCGAGGGCTTTTTTAATTACCGCTAAGGCGTGGAATTTACTGGCTTTTAATTTGTTTTGGCTATGGTTGGCTAATTGGTTAGTTAATTTGTTATTTTCTCTCCGAAGAGTTTTTAACTCCTCATGCAAAAGGTAAAATTGCTCTTTTTCTTTCTGTTCTTTGGGCGAATTTAGGTCATAATTATCATAATTAGAAAAAGACTGCGGAATAATCTGGTTGACTAAATCCGGAGTAATGATTATTTTGCTTTCTGGTACTCCTTGGTTAACTTCTCTGGCTCATTGCAAAAGACAATGTTCAAAAATAGCATCCAAGGCAAATTTTAATTGGCGAGCACCTTTTTCATTGGTTTTATTAATTAAGGCTTCAAGGGCCTCCGCAGTAATTTCCAAATTATCCGGGGTAAGTTGTTCATTATGGTTAAATCAATTTTGAATAAGTTGTTGGGCAATTAATTTTTTTTGCTCAATATTATAACCGGGTACTTCAATAATTAGCATTCGGTCGCGTAAAGGCGGAGGAATTTTGGTTAAATCATTGGCCGTAGCCATAAAAAATACGTGAGAAAGGTCTAATTTAACATCTAAATAATAATCAAGAACCGCGTGGTTTTGCTCCGGATCCAAAATTTTTAATAAACAATCATGAATCGCGGTTTTGGAAGCCGAGCCGGCTTTGTCTATTTCATCTAGCAGAATTAGCGGATCGTATTTTTTGGTTTCAGCCAACCCTTTGGCTAATTGTCCTATCTCCGTACCCAAGGAATTTTCACTGGCTCCTAATAAAATTGAAGTATCAAATAGTCCGCCTAAATTTATGGCAAAAAATTCTTTCTTTAAGGCTTGGGCTAAGCGAGAAGCGAAAGTTGACTTACCGGTTCCGGACGGTCCCACCAAACATAAGACCATAAA